CGAGTGGTAAGGGTATTTATTAATATATCCTTATTAGATTCATGAAATTTAATAATTGTATTTTTATAAAGGTACTTGACAAATATAATTAGTGATCCTAAAACAATTTAGTACAAGTAAGATTTCAATTTCCAATTGGTTTAAGTGTTTAACGCTCCAGAATTGAGTTTAGAGAGGATGCGGAGATGATTCACAATCTGGCGACAAATAATAACAAACATTTTATTTTACATCAATAAATCACTTACGTGTGTACACTGATTTTTATCTTAAGAATTGAGAAAACAATTTCCAAAAGTAACAGAAAGGTCAACACAAAGCAATGACCCTCACAAATCTCAAGAGGGCATTTTTCTTCACCAATATCACAAAATACCAATCAATTGGTTATTTGAGATTGAAGAGGTAAATTATTACCATTCACACTACTAATGCAAAAAAAATTCAATTATTTTAGATTAAAATTTCCAAATATCATTTGACATACTCTGTATATTTTAGATTAAAACCGGTATTAACAAATTTTGTAAATACAGAAAACAAATCTATAAGTAATTCACAACATTTGTTAATATTTACCATTTTAATTCATATTAACATGACACTACCGGGGCATTGCCCCGGGTGTTACACTAGTCTAGTGTATTAATGGGTGCCAAATTGGTTAGATAGCACGGATGATGTAGAAATTAGAGGCTTTATTCACGGGGAGAGAAACGAGCTGCACGCATCCGTACTTGGTCATCATTATGAATGTGGGTGTTAGGACAATTGGTCATTGTGAATGTGGGCGTTAGGACAATTGGTCATTGTGAATGTGGGCGTTAGGACAATTAAAAATCCCAAATATCTTAAATCTATTATAACTTTTTTTTAATTATACTCCATTTTTTTTATAAAAAGTATATCAAATTTTATAATTTTTTATGATCTTTCATATGACACCAATATTGTACACCGTATATATAAAGTTTAAAAAATAAAAATTTAAAGTTTCATCTGTTGGAGATTTTTATGTTCTAAATTTTTGTTAAGGGATTCAAGTGTTAAGATTTCATGATTATTGAGATATTTTTTTACATCTTTAAGTTATATTTTTCAAAAATAGGTATAAATTAACAACAACAAAATTAAAGTAAACTCCAAATTTAATTATTTTTACATCAAAATGTTCAACTTTTAAAATCATAATTATTCGTAAAAAAGAAATGAAAATTTTGATTTATAATAATAAAAGGAAGACTTTAATTAATGAAAACCATTGATGACTGAATATATTGACGGTGCTAGATTGCAGTAAAAACTAAATTGACAGATTGAATACATATAAGTTAGTGGGAAATTTGTTTTTTTATGGGGTTGGGTTGCGGTTAACTTTACAATCCATAGTTTCGAAAGTCCTAATATATTGGATTCATGTCACTCTATCCGTAGGAATTAGCTAACTTTTCTATTTGTTTTCCAAATTTTATAGAAAATATATCAAAATTCATTTTTTTATAATCTTTCATACATCAATATTGCATATATATAATTTAAAACAATATATGAAATTTTAAGTGCATGAGGTTTCCAGATCCAATATTTTTTTTAAAGAAAATGATCAAGTATATATGAAATTTTAACTACCGGAGGTTTTCAGATCTAATTTTTTTCTTAGATATATTGAAATGCTAAAATTTAGATCTCATGATTAATTTTTTACATCACTCAAATTTATTTAAAAAAAAAATAGTTCAAACATAACAAAAAAATACACTCCAAATTAATTTTGTTACACTAGAACGATTGACTTTTAATTCATGATAATCTGTAAAAAAAAATGGAAAAGTATTGATGTATGATAATAAAAAAGTAAGGTTTTATTAAAAAAAATGTTTTGTTCGGTGAACATATTGACGGTACTGGATTGCAGTGAAAACTGAGTTGATTGAGTGAATACATGTAAAATGGTGGAGAATTTGATATATTGACGGAGCTGGATTCGGTTAGCCTTAATGGCAGAAAACAAATAGGACAATTTTGCTACTTGTACCCAACTTTTAACTCACTCTTATACTCATCCATCATGAGAGACTATTTCTTTTGTCTGTGAATCCCTTTCATAGACAAAACAAGCATGTAGTTTTTGAAAGAGATTTACTGACAAAAAAACAGTCTCTCACAATGGGTGTGTATAAGGACAAGTACAAATAGAAATTTTCCAAATAGGACACCCATCTAGGAAAAACACACACTCACGAAGGCAAGAGGGTAGAGACACCGCATTAGTGACTAGATTCCATTGGAGGAGAAATTTTGCGGGACTGAGTCCGAGTAAAATTTCTATAATCTCTATAACTTGACTTGATTTTTCCTTAGAATCGAACTTCAATGATTTTTGCGTTTTAATTTCTGGATTATTTCATATTAGGAGTTGTTGCTTACTCAAATAATTGTGGTAGTTAATTATGTCTAATTGTTGTTTAATTATATCCATATATCACTCTAGTTCCTTCATTAGTTGTGTTAGTTTATTTGTAATTATGCTAGGCTAGATCTCCATGTGGTTTGAGTGTGAATAAAATCAAGGTTAATGAGTGTTCTTGGATATTGAATTGAATTTGAGATTCTTTTCTTATTTTTGGGACTAGTTGTTTGAGAAAAAAATTTAAGGAGTAATTTAATTAACACACAACAAATTCATCTTACTCGTAGGTGATTCTCAACAACACAAAATACTTCACAGTCCACACGAAGTTTTTCAGCTAAAATCAGTCTCCAGCTTTCTGAAAATACCTCACAAATTGTTGTCGGCCGATTCCTGAACTTTAAAATGGTGGATTCAAAGACTGTCTTGAGGTGATGCAAATGATCTTCAATAAAATTCGAGATGAGGGGATGATAATTAGTGAGTCTTTTCAAGTGGCGTCGATCATCCACCTATTGCCATCAGCTTGAAAAGATTTCAAAAACTACCTTAAGTATAAGCAACAGGAAATGAACTTGGAGCAATTGATCCCCGTCTTTGAATTGAAGAGGATAATTAATCGCAAGAACGATCATATCGGAAACTCCCAATCATTGGTGGCCCCAGGGAGGCATTTCCAAACCCAAGTTCAATGGAAAATGCATCAATTGCAATAAAAATGGACACACCATTGTCGAGCATAAATTTCTAGTGTATTATATCTCGTTAGAAAGATCATTTTGAGTTCTAAGGCTACTATTATGACTTCATTTACAATGCATAAGTAAAAGGTGCATATTCACCTAACATTCTCAAACATTTCAGATTTGACTCCAAACTCGGGTAGAATTTGATCTAATCATATCTTCCTCTATTTCGTTCCGTTTAAAGCATTTTCTATCTCGTTGCAAAGATCTTATGGAGTTTTTAAAACGAAGTGTGCTAATGTAATAATCGGAGTTTTTTAAAGTTGTTATGTATTTGGTTAATTGTCTTTTAATTTCAGACTACCATTGAACCAAAATAATACCAACCTTATTGTTTATTTTCTATAGAAAATATTTTCTAAAGTAGCTATGCCAATATATTTTTATTATAAGATAAACAACGGTGGAATTCATCCTGAACCGTCCAGACGAAATGGATATCGCACTAATGAGTTTTTTTTTAGAAAGAGATACCTTATATGCTGCATCTGCTCTGCTTAGAAAATAGGGATCAAAGGTCATGCCATCTTTCATGATTCGATCGAACAAAGACGATTGCATGCGAAAACGACGCCGAAAGATGCAAGCGTTGTAGGTGGGTTTGAACTCCAGTAATCATCCATCAATAAATGTTGTCCAACTTCTCAACCATGCACTCACAACTATTGGAGCTTGTTGCAACCAAAGAAGACACCATAGCCATTGCATGCAGTCCGAATATGGTTCTTCATCTTCATCTTGATCGTAAAATGCGAGAAAAGAACTCATGTTTTTTTAACTTGTCGCAGGATACTTGAAAATGAGAGAAGTAAAGATGAGGTGTGCGTCTCCAATGTCAAGTGAGACCATGTATTTACACTAATATAGTTCTATGATGTAATATGATAGTAAGAGGATCCAATGGAGGATACATCCAATTTATTATGTTTGGATACATCAAGGGGAGAATAACATTCAATGTGTTATGAAAGGACACACATATTGAAAAAGAGAATCCAATGTGATATAAACACATACATCAAGTTGAGAAGAGAATGTGTTATGTTATGGATAAACAAACAAGCTGAGAAGAGAATTTCTAATGCGCTAATGTAAATGAACCCTGTTTATCGAAAAACGCAAAAAATTAATGAATTTTATTTTATTTTACATCATTATTTTTTATTTCATAATTATTCAGATAATAAATTAAAGAAAAACATTACATATCATAAATTTAATTAATGTATTATTAAATTGATATGCAAAAAATATGACGGAAATATTTTATTGACATTTTTAGAATATAAATAAAATAAATAGAGATCAAAACATTGTTAAAGTCTCGGGGATTGGTCTAACTTCATGTAATTTTGGGGATTGTTAGGGCTTGTTTGCAATCAATTAAAAAAAGTGATTTTGGTTTTTTTAAGAAAAAAAGCACTTATTTTACCAAACACTATCAACTTTTACTTCCTTTGGCATAGAATCTACTTTTTTTCTTTTTATATTACGAGCCCGTTTGGTAGCACGAAAATCGGCTGTTTTGGCTGTTTCTGCTGAAATTTATTAAGTTCTGGCTGAAGTGGCTGTTTTGGCTGATTCTGCTGATTCTAGAAAAAAATATTTTAAAAATATATTTTATTAATAAAATAAAGAAAAAATTACATGTAAAAATAGCTAAAATGGTCATCTACAGTAACTTCAGCCAATACAGCCAGAAAAGTAACTCCAACCTTACTTTTTCTGCTTATTACACAATTCAGCACGCGAAAGTAAAAATTACGTGTTTGGTGAAAAAGCTGGCTGATAAGCCTGATAAGCCGAAAAAAAAGGTCTCCAAACGGGCTCTACGCTTAGCTTTTGAGGCAGATAAGGATTTTGGCTGACTGTGGAGCCACGAAGCTTAGCTGAAGTCTAACTCCGTCACCTGATTCTCTTCAATCGATTTTCTAATTCCAGAGCATATTCGATTAAATTGAACAATAGAGGGACATTCTCTTTTTAGCGGTGCCGTACTTGCCCGTGGATCCCTGTTTTATTCCGCAACCTTGTTTTCATCTGGTAATTGACGTTCTTTGCATTTCAATTTTATCTTTTCAAATGTGCAGAGTACTGCCAATCATAGAGAAGTTTGTCCAGTCCGTATGAAAGTTCGTTAAAACTACTCGTAGTACTTCGTATATCATATCTGTTTCATTAGGTTTGGGTGATCGAGTTTAACTCAAATAATCAAATATTAAAGAAAAGTTGGATTGTGCAATTTATATTGAATTTATAGAAGCAGCAATTACTGTAAGGCAGGATATGTATGGCCAAATTTGTTATGAGAAAAATATTTCAAAGACAGGCCTAAAAAGGGAGATGGGCGAAACAGAATGGGATGCAAGGGTGGGTGATAATATAATTTGAGATTGTACCCTACATGACTGTTCTCAGTTGTTGTGTGTACCCTGTACCCCATTTTGCTTCCAAGTTGGAGATTGCACCCAATTTTAAACCCTGCTAAAAGTTTTTTTTTTTGTTTATTACTATGAGTGCAAATATTTTCATGTGACTGTTGTATTCTTTGAATGTGATTTTATTTTGACTTTTTGTTATTGTGTCAATGAAACCATGTGTACATATTTTCCTTTTCTGTTTTATTTCAGGAAATAATGCCATTTTAATTTACTTGATGCTAAAAGATGGATGTGGATAACAAGAAATTTGGGCGAGGTAAGTCATTGAATACCTTAACCCCCAAATACTAATTAGGACTATCTTATTTTCTTATAGCACCATCTTTGCTCTAGTGCTCAAATAATCTTTTCTGAAGCTCAGATCCATATGCATTGATTTCTAAATTGGTGCCATTAATTTATCAGGCCTGCGCGAGCTTTCAGGTTCCGTAGACCTCATAAGGCACTTCAAGTTGCTGCCACATCATGAGTTCTTCTGCAAGAATTCACTTCCAGTATCAGTATCAGATACACACTATCTGCATAGTGTTGTGGGAGATGCAGAAATCAGGAAAGGGGAAGGAATGCAATTAAATCAGCTCATTGAGGATACTTCATTTTCGAGCGAGACAAATGCACGGATAAAACCTTTTGATCTAGATGTTCTGGTAGAGGCATTTCATCTGAGGGAAACAACACCAATTCATCTCCCTCCCGTAATGAACCACCAAAGCTGACAAATTTGAGATTTATTTTTGGAAATAGTTTTGCTTTAAATGCTTGCTTTTGGATTCTTAAATGTTGAGACTATTAATTGCAGTCTTTCAGATGTACTAATAATTAGGTCAATTTTTGGGTTTGTACTTTTGTAGTCTGAGAAGGGGATTCCGACTATAGCAGGCAAGTCTAAGAGTGAGTCCAAAGAGAAGGATAAAAAACACAAAAAACATAGGGACAGGGACAAAGATAAAGATAAAGAGCATAAGAAGCATAAGCATGGTCACAAAGATCGAAGCAAAGATAAGGACAAAGAGAAAAAGAAAGACAAAAGCGGTCATCATGAATCCGGTGCTGAGCATTCAAAGAAACATCATGAGAAGGTTTGAAAAATATATTGCTTATTCATTTTCCTTTAAATGGTTTTTCTTTTGCTGTATACTGAAAACGTGAAACTTAAATTTGTGTTCTCATTTATCACTTGTATTTTAAATTAATTGCTTCATATAAGTGGAAAACAAGCATGTTACATCACTTATTAGAGGGTTACTGCTTTTCATCTTAACTCCATTGCCAAGTTTGTGACACTTCGCTAATAAATTTGTGCATGTGGTTAGACTTACACAGAAAGATTTAGTAGCTACAAATGGCCAACATTATTTTCGCATTTGAGTTAAATAATCTACATTTCAAATTTATAACATGAAGAAGTTTGATGGTAGTTGTTTATATGTACTGATGTACTTGTTATCCACCGCTTAAAAATGTGAGCTGGATTCGAAGAATGTGAACTTATCTAATGAGTAATGATTGATAATCAATCATTATAGTTTGAACTCGCGATCTTAACAACATTAGAAATTGGATTGATTCACTGAATCTATCTATCTTTAATGAATCTAGAAAAGGAAGCATGAAGGAGAAAAAGACCTTAACGATGTTCAGAAGCACAAGAAAAGCAAGGTAACACTGTTTTTTAGCTTTCCTTGTTCATACTTGGTATTTCCTATAATAGTTTCCTGAACTTATAATGCTGTAGGATGGCACCATCAGTTTATCCAAATTGAGAACCAAAGGTTATGGGTGTATCACTTTATCTGATCAGTTTTTGCTTTGGATACTGGGTAGTTGAATTACCTTGAATTAGTTGAATTAAAGCATAACAATAATATTAGTAATAAACTAATAAATACAAAGTATCATTTTAAGCCGTATGCTTCCTGAAAAGTTCCATCATACGACGTACAAAATAAGTTGTACAAATCATGCATTATTCTTTCCTCTCTTTTTCACTTAGGAACTAATGATTAAAATAACCGTGTAAAGAATACAACAGGCTATTAAGGCCTCCTAACATAGGATTCCTTCATATAATTCATAGAGATCTTATGAATCGCTCAGAAGAGCATTGGCGAGCGTTGAAAAAGATAATGACATCAACAACACACTGAGATGTGGTGATGATGTGAGATGTTTCTCCCTCCCCCGTACGTAAAATTCAAAGTTTTATGGTTCAGAAACGTTGATCTGGACCTCTTGAAAGGGCCTCATCTGTAATGATGAATAAGACAGGGGATATAGTCTCAATCCTCGTGAAGCGTGCAAAAATCCATGTAGCTCTCCACTGACAGGGATGTAGAACTGAATTTTTGTGATAGCTCTGTTCGTCTTTCCAACCCAATTCTCAATGAATTCGAACTGCCTGATAACTTCGAGAGGGAAGAAAGCCCCAATCAACTCTGTTGTAGGCTTTAAGCATTGTCCTGCTTCATTATGATGTTTCCACGTGTGACCTTTTTGTACAGTTGTATCACCACTTCTTGAGCTAGAACCACATTATCCACACCTCTCTCTTAAATAAATCCCTTCTGATTCTAAGAGTTAGTTCTACGTAGGATAGAGCCGGTCAGTTATTCATGACCCTCGTAATGATGTTCAAAAACACATTATAAAGGCTTATAGGTCTCAAGCCCTTCCAAATTTTGGGATTTTTGGCTGATAAACCGTAGGTATAAGAACTATGGTGGTGGATGAGACACCCTGAGGAATAATGTTACCTCTTATAGAATCTCACACTTCTTTTACAAGATTTTTGCTAATGACTTCCCAACAGGATTGATAAGATCCAGCCTCAAAGCTCCCAGACGTTCAATGGACCCATAGTAAAACTGTTTCCTTGATGTCATTATCTTTAGGAATATTGTCAAGCATCTCATTGTCCTAAAGATGATAGCAGAAGGGATAACCCTCATAAAACCATTATGGGTAAATTCCCAAACTAGGAGTAAAAACAATATATAATTCCAAAATTGGACTACAATGCCCCCCAAATAGGAGTTACTTACTATCATCCTTTACTGTCATATTTTGACGTTACCAGACCTAATATGGCAGTATTCATGCCATAATTGGCGGTATTTTATCAAGCATGGCAGTAATTACTTCTATTTAGAGAATAAAAACGTATAGAATTTCGCATTGTTTTTACTCCTATTTAGGGTAATTTTTAAACCATTATCCTTCAATCCATTAGTAAACAAATTCCTGAAGAAGTCATCAGTGGAGTCCCCCACTTTGTTGTTATCAGTCTCCATTTCATCTTGGCATGGAAAATGGTGGCATTCCTGTACCCTACCATAAATCATGTAGCTCCACTCATCTGTTCTAGAAAGATTCCTCAATAGCTAATTGGAAATAAGGAAGCATCAGCAGCAAGGAGACCAGTTTTAGCATGTGGAGATTGTTTAGCATGTATATCAATTCCTCTTCCTTGACCTCTTTGGCTCTTTCTCAGCCTTCTTGACATTAACACTAATTTGAAGTTTGAACCATCTATTATGTTTAAATAATAATTATGAATATAACGCTAAATGCAATTTGATTATTAATAGATGTGTGTAGACTCAAATAAAGTTAACCACTTACATACACCCGTACCTATCAAATGTTATTTTGAACTAAAATCAGCAAATCTTAATCACTTGGTGGCCAAATAAATATAAGAAGGGTTACTGTGAAGTGAAGTATTTACATTTTTAATTATATCCAAATAAACCTGTAAAAAATCCAACAATTTCACCAAATTGAACATAATGAGTTATATTTTTTTTTTTTCCATTTTACTAATTCAGCTGCCTTCTTTATGCACTGACTTGCTACAGCACAAGAGCTCAAAGATTGATGAAATGGGTCCAACAAAGGTAGCAGGATAAAGGTGACAGTTGGTTCTATTATTTAGTTTTTCTTTAGATTTTGCACCTGAGTCTGGAAGGATCATTTACTTTCTATTATGAAATTGCAGAGGTACATATTTTCATTCATGCTACCACCACCCCACCCCCATAGCCCTACTAATGAAAAACTTTTTTGCCTGCTGTGTTTTTTCCATATGTATTTTTGTTATTTAGGTGCATTTTTTAGGGGCTATAGTTTCCCATTCATATGCACATCCTAGCATTCATTGATACGAGAGTACTATACTATTATGCGGGTAGGTTACCTGGTTAGTTATTGAATGTAGTCTAGTCTTTGAAATATCGGACTGCTAAAGAACATAAATTGAATCTGCAAAGCTATCTAATTTCGGAAACTTTGCTTAGGAAGTCTTGCTGCTATATGCCTTACCCTTAAGCTGCTGTCTGAACCCTGAATCAATTAGCCAATTAGGTACCTTAAATTCCCATTAGTGCATGTCCTTATTTCACAGCTTTCACATAATTATGCAGTTATGCTTAGAATCATTTATGGCATCTGTTGAAACTTAAACATGTAGAATAATGGTTTAGGCTGGTTATGCTGGTCATATGATCAAATGCAGCAATGGTCAATATAAGTCTTAAATACTACTCCCTCTATTCCTACTTATTATCTGTCTAGGTTGACCACTTTTCCTTGTTCTATTTCATCCATCCATTTGTGAAATACATGCATGGAAAAAAAAATTGTTTTTGTACTTACCCTGCTCATACTATTCGATTTTCCATTTTCACAAGAGGACATTAATGGGAAGATAGCTTCTAGTGGGGATTTTCTTTGTTAAAGCATTCACAATTCGATTATCTATTACCCCAATAGATTTTCTTAAACTGTGTGATGTGGTCAACCTAAACAAATAAATAGGAACAGAGGGCGTATATAGGATGGATTCTAACAATTTAATAACAGGGTTGGTGGCGTTGTTTATCTGAAGCAATGACTTCTTTTTCCCCATTAGTTTGATATTCTAGTTCAGAACATCACATAGTTGTGCTTGAGCCTTTGAGCTCATATTAAAAGAATGACCATATTGCGTTCTTTATGGCTGGGAAGTAGGAAATTGGTTCTGCTTGTTGCCGAAGTTCAAAAATGCTTTCATCATGAAAGCATTGTATACGTTCATGATGGGATTTTTTGCTGCAGATCTTTATTTCAGTGTTTAGAAACTTGTGTATGTTAAGTCACTTGACGGTGTTCTTAGAGCTTTTGGTAATGAGTTGCAAGGAACTCAATTTTTACTATTTTTTCCCAATCTGGTAAGAAAAATAAAGAATGAACAGAACAATGGAAAGTAATATAGAAAGTAACAAGGGAAAGTAACATAGGAAGTAATAACATTGATTGTTGTCATTGTATGGTGACCGACAGGAAACTGTACTCTTTAGCGTTTCCCATCTCAAAACAGTATTAAAAGTCCTGTCTCAAACTCATGTAATCGTAGATCATAATTCTCTCAGCCACACAGTCCCATTTTTTCAAGACGTGAGTACCCCCGAACTCGGTCTGTTTAATGTTCTCATCTTACCATACTTGCCAATTACGCATTTAAATCCCTCTCATTTCCTGAACATGAATAGCTAGGAATTTTCAATAACAAATATCACATTAATTTTTTGCGCACAAGAATTATGACCCCCTGCATAGTCCAAGTAGGGTTTACTATATATACTTTTTATGTTTACCAGTATAATAAAACTTTAATTTAGAGTAGTTAATATAATTTATACTGTGTTTTTGGAAACCATGCACAATGCTAATTCTAAATCATATCGGGCAATAAATTGAATCCGCATACCCTTCCAAATCTCATATTCCTTTGTGGTGGGACCCTTCCCGGACACTCACCCTTGCGGGGATGCCAATGTGCACCGGCTGCCTAATAAAATACAATAAATAAAAAGTATCTTTCTAAATCTCATCCTATCTGTTTAAATGGGATCCATTAGAGCAGGGGTTCTGGGGTACCATATAACACTCACTACCCATTCCCATCCCTAACTTCTAATATGGAGTTTGGAAGGTTTATTTGACAAGGCATTATAGAGAATCTTTATATTGACACTGGGATAGTTGAGGATAATTTTTTATTAGTAATTGCTCATTGAAGGACCAAAACATACACGGAGTTAAAAAATAGGACTAAGCATCTTTTATATTTAGTCCTATTAAAATGATTAAAACTTGCCAAAATAGTGGTGAATGAGTCCTATTTTGGGAATAAAAGATTGATAGTCCTTTTAAAGGATTGGCTTTAAACATGTTTCAGTCCTATTTATGAACTTAATACATGTTTCAGTCCTATTCAAGGAATTTTCTCTAATTTGATTGATTTATAAAGGATTGGCCTGTGTCGTAACTCAAGAGTGCTTAGCAGTTGACAGTCAGGTCATACTTCTAAGCACAAGAGCTCTAAATATTAATGGTAACGAGTAACTGGTCAGGTTCAATATTTGATACGTAGTATTTTTTAACTGAATGACGATACTTTTCTGTTATCACCAACACAACTCTAGCTCATAATTAATAAAGGAATAAGAGCGCCATGTTGACATGGGAGTCTAGTATTGCTTTATTTCGGCTAGCCTGGTTGCTATATATGAATCTAACAAGGGGAAGTCTACCACTCTACCTTCCCTATTATTGCATTTATCTGTCTTGCATTTCTTTTTTATGTGCAAAACACGTGTGAGCTAATCAACTAGTGTGAAGATAGTGACTTCAAACTGTTGAGTATATTTAGGCACTACTAAATATATTTAAAGGAACAGTGTATCATAGGTAGGACTCCCTTTAAAAACATAATCCCAATCTTATGCTTCCGCTGGCACATTAGAAGAAGGCTACATCACATATATACAACTCTATCTTTTTGTGTTTTTTTGTCTTAATGATAAAAAAATCTGTCATCAAGCCTTACAATCAGGTCTAACAGGTTTGCAGCCTTGTACAAATATAAAGGATGCTTTGAGTTTAAAGTGTTGTATTTCATCATTTGTCTTTCTGGGGGGGGGGGCATAAGCACATGTTTCTGAACTCGAGTTCAAATCTCGATGTGTAATCCTAATGCTGTACAATTTTGGCACTTGAAATCTGTTGTAGCTATGGGTGTTGACAACTTAAAACTTTATCAGCTTGTTTGTGACACAACTTTGCCACTATTGTGCTGATTTGTTTTACATAATTAATTGATATTCCATAATATGAATTTCAAGAGGATGGAAATGATGATTTGTTTGAGCCGAAATGTGTACTTTAGTATGCCACTGTGTTACATACTGGTTTTTTGTCCTTGTTAGAAATTAGACATCGATTTTTCATTCAACATATATGTCTCATGCATCAATTATATGCTGTGTGCATAAATAAGTGAGTTTATGCGAGAATAAAAATCTTGTCTTTGAGGTAGAGTGGTTCATCCAAATAGGCCAGGGTGGTTCTAGTTTTATACTACTCCATATATCTTTTGTAAATAGCGTGTGACCAGAACTGGAACTGACTGGAAAACAGGACTACTCTTTTTCTTTAATTACATGTAAATATGTAATACACAAATACTACACTCTGTGCTGTAAGAACCGGACCGGACCGGCCGGTTCGACCCGGAACCCGGTCACCCGGCCGTGGAACCTGTCCGGTTGAGTGCTGAACCGCTAACATGGATAAAACCGGATTTAACCGGTGGACCGGCGGCAGAGTCAGGGACAGACGGACCGTCACAAACCCGGGAAAACTGGACGACCACCATGTTGAAATTACTTTTCATTTAAAAATTGGCATAGTGGGGATTCAAACCCCCGTGCGGCCGTGCCTACTAAACCTCCCAGCCGTGTAACCAATTGGACTATTTGTCTGATGTGTAGAAGCTTTCATTTTAGAATTTTATATTATACTTGCTTAGCAGTTTTAGATCAATTGATAACCTATTTTAATTGCTATTACTATTAGAATACTACCTTTACTACGTACTATCCTCCGTTCTCTTTTAATCGCAACATTGGACTTTTTGCACTATTCACATATTCTACTTTGCTATATTTTATTCATTAATGTATTATAAATTAATTTTTCAAAAAATATTATTAAATTCTTCTCATTCTAAATTTTCAAAATATGAATTTTTGAAATTTTTCACTAAAGGAATGAAAGATATTAATGGTCAAACTTGTGCGTTGGCAAACGTGAAATGTTGATTGTTGCAATTAAAAGGGAACGGAGGAAGTACATTAGTACATAGATTAAACTGTGCGAATTTATGGAAACCTATCAATCATACTTGTAATTGTTTATAGAAATATTAGATTTCAATATTTTTGATTATTTTCCATATAATTCCATATAATTGTAATTGATTATTTGAATATTTTAGATTTCAACATACTACGTATTTAATTTTGTAAGTTTTTTATATATTGATATGTAATTTTTAATTTAATCTTATAACCAATTTTAAATTTGAATGAGAGTAATTTTTCACCATACAACTTTTTTTCAAAGTTTTTACCATACAACTTTAATCGAATATATAATTAAATATATTATATATTTAATTTGTCAATAAATGTTGACCGGGTTGACCCGTGATCCAGTCGACTGTCCGGGTTACTTCCTAGTCCGGTTTTTACAACATAGACTACACTTGGATTAAACAAATACTCCCTCCGTCCCATAATGAACTTCTCAGTTTGACTTCACACAGATTAAGAAAATAAATTTGACTTTACTGTTGAGTGCACTGTTTTGCACGGTTTAAACACTGTTTGACACTGTTTGGACACTGTTTGACACTTTTTTATGTAGATTATTTGCCAAATAAAGAAAGTTTTGAAGTGTGAAGTTAATTTTGGGACTGTCCGAAAAGGGGAGTGAGAAGTTAATTTTGGGACGGAGGGAGTATTATTGACAATAAAAATCTCTGTATGTGTCCTGTCTCAAAATAGGGACTATTTTTAATGCTAAACCAGTACAGAGTACCGTACATGGAATATTCTTTAGGGACAGGGTAAAACATTAGTTGGTGTCTGCATGTCTATTGCTTTCTGGGTCTGGGTCTGGGGAATTTACAGCTATTTATAGCATTGACCGGTAGATGTAGTCTATGTTTGGTGGTGAGGAACTTAAAGGCTAGATAGATGAGTTTTTTCCCGGAGAGGGGTACTTTGAAATCTTATTTCCTAAAGTAGGGTAGTTTTAAACTTAATTCTCAAATAGGGGTAGTTTTTCCCAGTCATCATGCCATGTCATCACCCACCCTAATTTCCATTTCCATGTCATTCAGCCGCCACATAACATTTCCATGTCATCCATAGACTAAATACAGTCTGTTTGAATTTAAAAAAAAAGGTTGTGGCTAAGGAGATTCGAACCCACGACCAGGTATCAAGAATACCATACCCTTAGCCGCTGCACCAGACATGATTCTTGTGATAGTGTGAGATTTACGTGTACTTATATTCACAATGTTCCAAATTAAACTAAAGGCTCCTCCATATTATTATTACGGAGTATTATTAATGTTATTATAATAATAATTATTATTATTGTTAGTACTACTATTATATTTATTATTATATTTATTATTATTACTATTATTATTATTATTACTACTACTACTAATATTATTATATTTATTATTATCATTATTAGTAGTATTAGTACTATTATTATTATATTTATTATTATAATTAATTTTATTATTGTCATAGTAATAATAATAGTAATTATAACAATAGTAATACTAATAATAGTAATTTTATTATTATTATTACTATTAATTTATTACTATCACTATTATTATTATTAGTACTACTATTATTATTATTACTATTACTATTATTATAATTACTATTATTATTATTATGACAATAATAAAATTAAATACAATAATAAATATAATAATAATAGTAGTACTAATACTACTAATAATGATAATAATAAATATAATAATATTAGTAGTAGTAGTAATAATAATAATAGTAATAATAATAAATATAATAATAAATATAATAAGAGTACTAACAATAATAATAATAATAATAATAATTATAACATAAATAATACTCCGTAATAATATTATGGAGGAGCCTTTAGTTTTAATTAAACATGCATGGAACATTGTGAATATAAGTAGACGTAAATCTCACACTATCCCAATAATCATTTGTGGAGCAGTGGTTAAGGGCATGGTATTCTTGATACTTGGTCGTGAGTTCGAATCTCCTTAGCCACAACCTTTTTTTTAAATTCAAACAGACTGTATTTAGACAATGTGATGACATGGAAATGTTATGTGGCGGCTGAATGACGTGGAAATGGAAATTAGGGTGGGTGATGACATGATATGATGACTGGGAAAAACTACCCCTATTTGGGAATTAAGTTTAAAACTACCCTACTTTAGGAAATAAGATTTCAATGTACCCCTCTCCGGGAAAAAACTCCTAGATAGATGGAGTAAGTAGTAAATGTAGTCTATGCTGGATTAGTGGTCCAAGTCCACTTCCGACATTTCACCATCCTGGTAAAAAATACTCCAGCTGTCATCTATGACTCATGTGTTTATTGTCTTAGGGGCCGTTTGGTAACGGTTGCAACGGCTGAATAGACTGAATAGACTGAAAAGACTTAATCTGTTAAAGTGAAAGTGTTTGGTAATATGTTGGCTGAAATGGCTGATTGAGTGTAAAATTACTATAAAGGGTATTAGCTTGTTTGTGTTAAATATATGGGTATGATCTTTGTTAGTAAGTTAATTTTGCTTATTTAACTTATGACATCAAATTTTTTACTCCTATGTTGAGTTTATATTGTTCTATACAAGTTTTATCTTCCAAAAAACACGATTTTTTCTGAATGAGTGACATTAGTAACATGTGTAAATTAATTTAAAAAATACACTTTCAATAAAATATATGGAGCATTAAAAAGCTCACATGCATTGAAATTAAAATAAAAACAAAACAAAAAGTACACATACGTATTTATTGGAGTTATTTAGCACAGTAAAGTACGTAGTATTTAACACCATACTCCAGAGCACCAAACAACTCATCGAAACTACATGCAACGGCAGATGGATGTGTTGACTTGATGACTTTAGATATGTATCCAACGTTCTTTCAGGTATAACAGAAGGGTAAAACAAGTCTTTTTGGTCACCAACAGCAAAATAATAAGAATCAGCTGAAAAAAGTAAATAAACGGTTGTTTTTTGAACTGATAATAAAAATCAGCCCAAACAGCAAATTCAGCTAGTGTTTGGCAATTTTTTTAATACTTCAAGGCTTATCTGCCCATTTTGGGTGCTCCAAACGCCCTCTTATTATGCAGTCTAACTGCTCGTTCTGTTTCAAGATATGATAAATAGAAATAAAACCGTTTGGTAACCGTTTGGTAATTCATTTTTCCAGCTTATTAGCTTTGTCAATCATTTTTTTTACAGAACACATAATTATTGATTTGTGTGTCGCATTGTGTAATAATCTAATTAAGTAAAATTGAAGTTACCTTTTTACTCAATTAGTTGAAGTGATACCATTTTAGTTAATTTTTCATATAATTTTTTATTAAGAAAATATATTTTAATATAATGTTCCACAATTCAGAGCTGCTTTAGTAAGAATTTTATCGATTTTACTATTATCAGGCGGACTCTAAGCAGTGAAGTTGAGATTGTGGCGTTGACAAAGAAATAATGGAAATAAGTGTTTTGTAGTTCATTGTGATTGGGTAATGCCGCCGTAATGGGCAGGGTGGATTTGGTTCCTGTAAAATAAGGCTATGAGCTGAATTATGTCCGCCTCGTTTTGTTCTTGTTCCAGTTTTAGTTTTGAGATTTTGAATCAGAGTTGCGTATACTTCTGAAGAAGTTTGACATAAATCTTAAAAATAAATGCAAGTGACATTGAAGGATATGATTAAATGAGTTGTCATGCGAATACAAAACTGGAATGAAAGCTTTCTTTCGCAGAGTTGGAAAAGAGATGCTTTTGAAAATGGTAATTCAGGCTTGAAAATGATAATTCATATGATATGAATGTTTTCTTCTCCCTAATGAGTCACGTCGGGAAATTGGAAAATGGTCATTCATATGATGTGAATGTTTTTTTCTCCCTAATGAGTCACGTCGGGAAATTGAAGACCTTATGAATGAATATTGGTTGAACGGAAATTCTGGAAAAGGGATTAGGTTGAAGTTTATTTGAGATACGACGGGTCATTAGGGAGGGATATTGCTGTCGAGTGGGAGACGAGAGATCAAAACTGTTTGGGACGATCCCCGGTTATTGGATGAGGATAATGTAGGTGCCTCCACCAGTAGTCAGTAAACTCAGTACTATGGCCTTTGACTACATGATGACTGGGGGAAGTTCATAGCAGGGTGGCCAAAACTTGGGGGTAAATGTACTCTAGTAGCTGAATTATTGAGTATTGGAGAAGTATTGAGTTGGTCGAAGGACCATGAGTAAAGAAAGGGCCTTTCTACTAAGGGACTCATACTAGAGGATATTATAGAATATAATTTGCTCAGAGCTTACAAATATTTCTTTTTCTTTTCTTAGACGATCAATGAACAAAGCCGCCCATCATGAGTTAGCGAAAACGGGTGGTTCTATGTCTAATAGCTAAATTTCGTCGAGTAATCCTCCAAGTTGGATTGTTAATGTTGATATTTGATTCATTAATGCTAATTAAGTTTATTTCCTTAAAAAGAATCATAAGAGGTCACATGTTTATATACTCTAATAAAGCCTTTTTTAGAGCCCGTTTGGTAGCATGAAAATCGGCTGTTTTGGCTGTTTCTGCTGAAATTTATGAAGTTCTGGCTGAAGTGGCTGTTTTGGCTGATTCTGCTGATTCTAGGAAAAAATATTTTAAAAAAATATTTTTTAATAAAATAAAGAAAAAATTACATGTAAAAATAGCTAAAATGATCATCTATAGTAACTTCAGCCAATACAGCCAGAAAAGTAACTCCAACCTTACTTTTTCTGCTTATTACACAATTCAGCACGCGAAAGTAAAAATTACGTGTTTGGTGAAAAAGCTGGCTGATAAGCCTGATAAGCCGAAAAAAAGGATCTCCAAACGGGCTCTTAGTATGTTTTTACTGCTTTTTATTCTTATACAATTTGATTTACTCTTTCCCAAGATGAGCATAATCCAGAGTCCCAGAGAATGGCATTTTAAAAGTTGTATTTAGTTTATGCCATGTAAAGTATATTTCTAATTGTGATTTAATCTACGTATTTCCGAAAAATGGCAGTTTGACCACTTTCAGCGTTTTCAATAAGTGAGAACGTTGTTTGGTAAATAGCGGTTCGGCACTAGCGTTTTCGGACGAAAACGTTGAAACGAAAATGCTGCCAATAGGAGAGTTTTGGATTGGCGTTTCGAACAATGACATTTTCTCTTAATTTTACGGCCAAACAACTAAATTACCAAACATATTTTAACAACCCGCCAATTTATTCCGTTAGTCAAACACACTGATTAAATATGTTATTGACAACCCGCTATCCGCTAACCGCTAATCGTTGAATGTCAAACATGCCCAAAAATAGGAATCGATCTAGTATTATGGTTTTTTTTGAAAACTCATTATGGTTGTTCTTAACTACTCCGTGATTACCATAAAAAAAACTCCGTGATTTGATAACATTTCTAAAAGAGAGAATTCCCTAAATAGGAGTAAAAATGTTTCAAAATTCCAAAATAGGAGTATCATGTTTTTTATTCCTAGAATAGGAGTAAATTTATGCCAAGTTTGGTATTACAAGGCTTTAAACATGACATTTTTTCCAAACTTGGCAGCTTATTCCTATTCAGAGAATAAAAAACATGATACTCTTATTTTGGAATTTCAAAACCTTTTTACTCCTATTTAGGGCAATTTCTGTTTCTAAAAAGGAGGATTCTATGGTACAAGGTACAATACATTTGTTTAAATATAAATTAAAAAAAGCTATAATGATTTGGAACAATTAAGTAAATACGGTATCCCATTTTTCATTTTGATGCTCTAAATTAAAGGTCTCATTTGCCCTTTTTACTGTTTTTTAGTTTAATCTAAAATATACTTTCCTAGGGTTGGTAAGAAGCTTAGGTAATCATGAAATTTTAACACATTTCCTTAATTTTTGTGTCTAATAGAGTTTGGACGTGATGCAGCATCTTTTAAGTATTTTTCTAAAAATATTCTTAAAAAAAATATTTTTTTCTAAAACTATTCTTAAGTTTCCGATCCATAATTTTGTTTTGGCAGTTAATTTTGACAGTTAGTTTTATTCTTTCAGGATGTTATGTGCATAATGAGTGGTGGACTTGGGCCGGGTGGCCCGACCCGGGACCGGCACTGTTCCGGCCCGGCCCGACCCGGTGGCCCGGCCAGTGACCGGTCCGGGTAGGCCCGAGCTGAGGGGTTTCCGGTCCGGGCTCGGGTCACCTAAAACATGAACCGACCAAACCAGTTCGGGCCCGGATTTCGGGCTTTTTTTCAACTTTTTTTTTAAAATCCCCGGGTTGGGCTGGATATTTTGGGCCATTTGGGGTGGTTTGGGGGGCTGGAGGGGGGGTCGGTGGTGATTAGAAAAAGGGGGGAAAAAATGTAAGAGGCTCGAGGCCCGGCCCGGACTGGACCCGGTGGCTACCCGGGTCGGTCCCGGGCCCAACATTTCCTAACCGGCGGCCCGGTCGGGCCTAGGCCCGGGCCCGGCCCGGGCCCGAACCGGCCCGAGTCCAGCACTATGCATAATTACTATTACTACACGTAAAAGTTTAACGCAATTTAAATCACGAGACTTAATGCTCAGAATTTATATATTATGAGAGGATATATAATGAGGGTCAATGGCTTTTTAGAACATTGATTTTTGAGTATCCAAAAAGAACTACTCCGTATATTAGAAAGAAAAAGTTAAAAGGCTTGATATGCCTAGGGCTGAGCAAAAGCCGATCCGACCTGAAAAATCCGATATTTTTTCCGGATATTATCCCAACCGAAGTGGATATCCGACCCGAAAAACCCGAAACCGAAAGTCCGATTGGTATTGGGCCTAGACCGGGTGGCGGGTAGGGTTTGTGAAATCCCAACCCGACCCGCCTGAATATCCGAAATATAGGTTAGTGTGTACTTTGAATATTTAAATTAATACTTGTGTTCAATTATTTGTGTAATTATTTGTGCAATTTGTATTAAATTATTTGTGTATATTGAATGTGTAGTGCACTAATGTGTACAATTTTTGTCAAAGTGGCATTCCAACACTTTAATTATCCAATTATAATGTGTTTTAATATAACCGAAATATCCGAAATATATTAAATTATGTAGTGTGTACTTCGAATATGTTAAATTAGTACTTGTGTTCAATTATTTGTGCAATTTTTGTTAAATTATTTGTGTAATTTGGAAGTTTAGTGCACTAGTGTGTACAATTTTTGTCAAAGTGACATTTAAACACTTTAATTATCCAATTATAATTTTTTAAAAATATAACCGAAATATCCGAAACCCGACCCGATATCCGATAATATCCGACTTAAAAATATCCGAAATACCCGATTTGAAATATCAAAGGGTCGGGCCTAGTATTTAAATTAAAAAATCCGAACGGGTTTAGGGTTCGCAAACCCGACCCGCCCGACCCCGACCCGTGCACAGCCCTAGATATGCCTAGGGGTGGTTCGGTACGGTATGCCGAATATTTTCTTTAATATCTTTGCCGTATCAAAACTTTCGGTATACAAAATTTATATACCGTTACCTTGCCGAAGTTTTGGTATACCGCATTTCGGTATACCGAAGTTTCGGTTCGGCAACGGTACGGTATCGGTAAATTACCATGCATGTCTCCCAATACAACAAATTATCATAGACTAACAAAATATAATAAATCGGTGTTGCTAGCGACATATTTAATTTATTATTAGAATGTTACAAAATAAAATTAATAACCTATTGTTGTCATATTCAATGTTGAACAATAATTATTATTATTAGTATATTTAAGCATTTCAACATTCCACGTATTAAAAAATAACACTCTCCTAAAATAACTTGAACAATATAGATATAATTAAATGAATAACAAAATTATTCAAACAACATGGATATAAAATCATTTATCTCTTATATGATGTTGTGTATTTAGAGCCCGTTTGGTAGCACCAAAATCGGCTGTTTTGGCTGATTCTGCTGAAATTTATGATATTCTGGCTGGAGTGGCTGTTTTGGCTGATTCTGCTGATTTAAGAAAAAAATATTTTAAAAATATATTTTATTAATAAATTAAAGAAAAAATTATATGTAAAAATAGCTAAAATGGTCCTCTACAGTAACTTCAGCCAATACAGCCAGAAAAGTAACTCCAACCTTACTTTTTCGGCTTATTACACAATTCAGCGCGCGAAAGTAAAAGTTACGTGTTTGGTGAAAAAGCTGGCTGATAAGCCTGATAAGCTGAAAACAGAGTTCTCCAAACGGGCTCTTAGTCATTCTTATTCTTATAATTTTAAAAACATATTTGAATATGACTTTCAGACAAAGTTGTGTGACTCGACTCGCGGAATCCCTATATAGATACACTCGTCACATAAGTATATCCTTTTTCAATCGTCAACTACTCAGCGGCTCAACCATTGTGACTCGCAAGTTCGTGGAACAGGATGGACTAGTTTCTGGACTAGTTTCTGGACATTAGTACATACATTACACATTAGTCGTACCGAAATTAATCGGTATGGTACGATATTGTATCAAAAATGACGGTATACCAATATTCCAGTATTTTCCGGCATTTTTCAGTACGATAAGTGCGGTATACCGATTTTTCGGTATTTTTGCCAACCCCTAGATATGGCGGGCGTTGGGCACCTAATATATTTTCTTTCAAAATAGAATTATGAAAGGA